CCTTCCTCAGGGTCTGTGTTACACATCCTTCCTCAGGGTCTGTGTTACACATCCTTCCTCAGGGTCTGGGTTGCACATCCTTCATCAGGGTCTGGGTTACACATCCTCCTCAGAGTCTGGGTTACACATCCTTCCTCAGGGTATGTGTTACACATCCTTCCTCAGGGTCTGGGTTACACATCCTTCCTCAGGGTCTGTGTTACACATCCTTCCTCATGGTCTGTGTTACACGTCATTCCTCAGGGTCTGTGTTACACATCCTTGCTCAGGGTCTGTGTTACACATCCTTGCTCAGGGTCTGTGTTACACATCCTTCCTCAGGGTCTGTGTTACACATCCTTCCTCAGGGTCTGTGTTACACATCCTTCCACAGGGTCTGTGTTACACATCCTTCCTCAGGGTCTGTGTTACACATCCTTGCTCAGGGTCTGTGTTACACATCCTTCCTCAGAGTCTGGGTTACACATCCTTCATCAGGGTCTGTGTTATACATCCTCCTCAGGGTCTGGGTTACACATCCTTCCTCAGGGTCTGTGTTACACATCCTCCTCAGAGTCTGGGTTACACATCCTTCCTCAGGGTATGTGTTACACATCCTTCCTCAGGGTCTGGGTTACACATCCTCCTCAGAGTCTGGGTTACACATCCTTCCTCAGGGTCTGTGTTACACATCCTTCCTCATGGTCTGTGTTACACGTCATTCCTCAGGGTCTGTGTTACACATCCTTCCTCAGGGTCTGTGTTACACATCTTCCTCAGAGTCTGTGTTACACATCCTTGCTCAGGGTCTGTGTTACACATCCTTCCTCAGGGTCTGTGTTACACATCCTTCCTCAGGGTCTGTGTTACACATCCTTCCTCAGGGTCTGGGTTACACATCCTTCCTCAGGGTCTGTGTTACACATCCTTCCTCAGGGTCTGTGTTACACATCCTTCCTCAGGGTCTGTGTTACACATCCTTCCTCAGGGTCTGTGTTACACATCCTTCCTCAGGGTCTGTGTTATACATTTTTCATCAGGGTCTGTGTTACACATCCTTCCTCAGGGTCTGTGTTACACATTTTTCATCAGGGTCTGTGTTACACGTCCTTCCTCAGAGCGTGTGTAACACATGCTTCTTGGTCATAAATTATCAGTGAAACTTTATAATCACTAGTTTATTTACTAGATTCTACATTTATCATTCATTACACTTGCATGTATTTCAATGGCAAACAGACACAGCTGTAGCCATTTGTGTATTCATATGTAAACCTA